GATGTGAACCCCTTGTACCTTGGTTGAAATTTATGTTTATCTATTTTAATTGCATTTATCTTTTCTTGTTCTTTATTCTATAATTCTATTGGAACTGATCAATCTAGTAGGGTTGCGAGGGTTAGGGTTTACAATAGGGATGTTGGAATTCTAATTCCTGACAAAGAATAAGATAATTGTTCATGTACGCACTAGGGACAGGCTACATGAACAGCGAACGTTAAAGGTTCATTGATTCTAAGGGTTAACTCGAAAAGGGATTTCTAAGGGATTAGGATTCTAATAGAGTTAACAAGGTTAAAGTCACTAAGGGATTAGGGCTTAACTACTCATATAAAAGATGATGAATTGTTCGATAAATTGAATATGTAAATGTAAACGTAATCCAAGTTGCAAGGTGGGGATCGGAAAGATGTTTGTTTCTCTTTACCGTAATATTTTCTCAAATATTTTCCCAATCCTTAATCTTTTGTTCTTGCATTCTGAAAACACTTTTGGAATCATTTACATTTTTACTTTAATTATTTTAGTTTGTTTCATGAACTACAATCATTCTCAACCTATTTTGATTAATCCAACAAGAGAGGAATAGTTATAACAACTTAGGTGCCTCAATCCTCGTGGAGACGAAACTCTACTCACTCTTTATTACTTGGTACGATCGGTGCACTTGCCGATTTTACGCGTCAGCAACCAACCCAAGAATTAGGATTCCAAGGATATCCATCATTGGACAAATAATTACCAAATCGTGATTGATCTCAATTGAATCAGAATCCTTATTTCCAATTGAGAACCCTCTCTAAGCGATCGCTTAGCGTTTGGTCGAATACAGCGCGTCTACTCGAGCAATCGCGGAGTATCAACCCGTTCGACTTGAGTTCATTGGGTTAATCAACCTAACCATTAAATCTAATGGTTAATCTTTTTCCTAAGAACGCAATCACGTATCTCAGATTGAACACCCACAATCGCGCGATGCCAAACCGAGTTGGAAAGAGAAACGTATTTGGTTCGAAATGAGGCGCATGTCCTCAAGATTCAACCATGGAATCCTCAACCCTTGGGTTGATTAAAGAAAAGAGGAGAGAAAAGAGAAGAAAATTATATTAATTTCAAAACTGTATCATTCAAACTCAAACGAAAGATTCTTCACAAGGTCCATACTCTCGCTCTTTTAACCCCTAATCAAGTTGGGCTTCGGGCTCTACAAATCCAACCCAAAATAAAAGGAAACAAAATAGAAATAATGGCTCTGGGCCTCATGTACATTGGGTTCAAAATTATAACTTAAGTCCAAACGTCAAAATAAATTTCCAACAAAACACGTCCATCTTGGGCTCAGGTTTCGACCATCTTCCAGTCCGAATTGGGCTTTAGTAGATGAAATAGAGATTGTAGCCCTATCTACTAGCTGCAAAACACAACAAGAACGGAGTCAATCGGAAATCTGTAGAGTGAGATATGGTCAAAATACGAAAATAGTGTAAATCTAAAAAATTATGACGAAAATCAATTAAACCCAATTAAAATCTAGAATTCTGATTTGACCCAAAAGACCTTATTTAATTCAAATATATCATAAAAATACTACCCAAGAATAATAAATAAGTGTAACAAAATATGTGTTATCATGGATTATGTCCAATACTTGACTCACTAAGATGGATTATAACAAGTTTCCCCTCACCTAGTTTTGGTGGATCACTCTTACTGTTGTGGTGGAACTCACTATAATTTGATAAGATGACAATCTCATAAACTCTTCACTTAATGGTTGTTTTCTCTTTCTTAAAGGATCACTTACATGCTTGTGGATTGCTTCCATTACTTGATTCTTCCCATATTTATAGATGTCCATGAGACATTTTTATGTTCTATATTATGCCTCAATGAAATAAATAGATTTTCAAATACATGGAGACTTGCAAAATCATTTTCCTATTCATTGAACTTGAACATGCATTATTGAAATGTTACATTGGAATGTGTGGCCAACCTAATTGATTATGGAGGAAAACTCGCACATTTTTAAAATACGGACTGACCCGTACCATTTTTTTTTTTTTTCTCCCAATTTTCACTGCCGAAAAAATGGGACAACTTAGTCTTCTTTACCCATTTTTTGTTAAGATAAGGTGTATAGAGTACTGTTGAAGTGACAACTTGTACGAAAAGGATAAGCAAAAAGAGTTGAAAAATAGAGATAAAGAGTGACACATTTTTAATGTGGAAAACCCTTAAAAAATGAAGAGAAAAACCATTTGGAGGGGGGAGGGGGTATTAGGTGTCAAACACACTATGTTATTAGGGCCAAAAGTATGATAAATAACGTTGTAAATGGTCAATTGCACAATGTTTATTACCAAATGTAAAAGAATCTTGAGTTTTTATGATTGGGCACATTACTGACATAAAAATATATTGGTTTCAGGTTAAAATTGATATTATGAAGCACTGATGGAGTAAGGAAGCCAAAGAAGTCAAAAATTAAGAAGCTTCATCCTCGCTAGCTTGCTCGCTTTAGCGAGCAAGTGCTGCAGCGAGTTTGTCCAGAATTATGTTGCAGCTCGCTAGCCTGCTCGCTTCAGCAAGCAAGTTAGCGAGCAGATCGAATTTACTTGCAAATTTGCTCCCTTCAGCGAGCAACGTTGTAAACAAAGGCCCATTCATCTTGTGTTTAATAAAAACCCGACGAAAGCAGGCAGATGGCCTGAATTAGGCAATTTTCTGCGCCCTAGCAGAGGGGTAGGGTTTGTTCTGAACCTGAGGATTGGAGAAAAAGATCAAAGCTTCCTAGTGGAGATCGACAACAAAGTTCTTTTGATTTTCTTTAGTTTCTTTTCATCTTTTGCTGTAGTTTTTCTGACTATGTCAGCCTAGGTTATTTGTTGTTAGGGTTAGATGGAACCAATGGATTCCTAGTTTTATTTATTCATTTCCTATAATTTGATATTCAAATCTATGTTATGCAATTAATTTGTTTTTCCACTCCTAACTTTGTTTATGAACTAATGACTCATAAATAACGCGTGAATTTTGCATGACAATAGGAATGTTGGGGTACGATTCCGATTGGTTAATTTTCGATTTTTGCTTGATCCAGTGGTAGACTTGTGAAATCCATGACCTTTAATTCTTGTTCTTAATGCTTACCCTAGGAAAGATCACTAAGGGTTAGGGTTTTGAGTAGGGTAAAGGATTGAATCACCAAGGGATTGAGGTTTAATTAATTATGAAAGAATTTTCAATAATAGGAATTGAATGTTAGTTATAGGAAATGGTAAACTCAATAGGAATACATTGGGGAAATCAACACTCTAGCTATGTTTGCATTATTAGTTTTAATTCTTATTTTTAGTTTGATTCTTGTTCTTGTTAATTGTTTGTTAACTTTAAGTTCAGTTTTTATATCTTAATCATATTCTCAAGTATCAATACGGTTTATCCAACTTTGAGAGAGTAGTGAAATTAATGCTTAACAGATCAATTCTCGTGGGAACGATACTCTACTTATTATTTTATTACTTGTACGACCGGTATACTTGTCATGATCATAAGAGGCGATCCAAGACTTCCATATACTAATAGGATTACAATAATATATTTTATAATTATCCAATATAAAGTTAGAGGATTACATTCAATACTTTACTCATTAGGATGAATTACAACAAGTTTCCTCTCACCTAATTTTAGTGGATCAATCTTACTTGTGGAACTCACTTTAGTTTGAGTGGAAAACAATCTCACAAACATTTTACTAAATGATGGTTTTATCTTCATTGTAGGATCTCTCACATTCTCATGGATTACTTCTATTGCTTGATTCTTTTCTTCCTCCCTTATTTATAGATGATCAAGAGGTCTTTATTGCATGCGCTAGATTATTCCTCAATTAATTAGAGGGACTTTTAATGCTGTAGACTTGCAAAATCATTTTCCCATATATGGAGACTTAAATCATGCATTTTTTTTTTATACATAAATCATGCATTCTTCAAATGTTGCACTAACCTAATTAATTATGGAATACAAAAAAACTGCGATAATTTTTTAAATGACATTCTTTAAATACGAATCAATCAGTATGATCTTATTTTTGACTCGTTGGCGGCGGGTCAACATAATTTGTCAATGGAAAAAGGCAAGGACTAGAAGAATTCATCTGATATCATGTTAGAAGGTAGAGTGCACAAACATGAAGAAAAATTGAATAATAGAATTCATTCCATCACTTTCTCAGGCACATGTTTTGTACAGATGGAATACACCTATATATCTATGAATAAGCAAAAGGGCTCTATAACAACCTGTGAGGTGGCATTACATTATCTGAAAGTAAGAAAAATAAATAAATAAAGAAGAAGTAAATTTATATACAAAATATAAGGCTAATAGAAGGTGTGAGGCCCCTTAGGGTGTCATTTAAAATAGTATTTCACTGGTTTCTTAATGCTTGTATCAAGGTTGGACTGGTCTAAACGGTTATCTTGAACCATTTATGAAAGTCAGCTTGAACTAGGAGATTATTTATTATATTTCTTGAGATGAATGAAATATACTTTATAAAAATTCAATGTCCAAATTAATACAAAGGTCAAAATCAAATATTAAAATAATTTTAAATAATAAAATATGATATAAAATATAAAAATATATTTGTTGCAAAAACAAAGGTTACAAAGCAATAAGTATTCACCCGTAAAATGTGGTTCATATAATGATTTTCTATTCCTTTCCTCCATACTCATCATTTCTCCCTCTTTTCTAATTCTTTGGTTTTACATCCAACACTTTTATTTAGCTTCAGCTTGTACACTCTTCCACCTAATGATTAAATGAACTTCATTGGAAAATAGAATAGTGGTAAGTGATATATAATTTTTGCTTTGTCTAGTTTTGGTTCATTCTGATTGGATGTGTTGCTTGGATCTATGAAACAGATAAATTCGACTATTACGGAAAAAAAATTGCTGCAAGAAACAACAGCTATTGAAATGGACTTCATTTACTCGACGAGCGAAGAATTATGTGACGGTAAGATTATCACCAATACTTAATTGATTCTGTTGATATCATTGGTTTATTGGTTTAGATTCTTTTGGCCTATATATCAATGTTTGAATTATATGTTTGTTTTGCCATTTTTGGCTTGTTTGTTAAAATTGGGAATTTTCTTCTGTACATCAGATGTATCCATTTTTAGGTACATCCTTTTTCCAAAAAAATTAATTTTTTTTTCCATTTAAACCAACACTTTCATTTTTATTCCATCTCTATTCCAATTTTTTTATTTTTTTGGACCGATGCATGGTGCATCGGTAACACCAAAGATTTGCTCTTAAAACTGATTGAACGTGTAGTCTAATTGATATACAATTTACTCCCAGGGGACGTTTGGTTCAGGAAATTTTTTTAGAATAGTAGAGAAATGATTGGAAAGATAGATAAAGTGAGATAGGTAGAAAAATGTAAAAAAAAATTGTTTGGTAGGGAAAAACTTTACTGGGAAAATTAGTTAACTTTATGAAATCAACAGTGCATTAAAAGCCAGATAACCGATTTTCCGAAAAATCCCACCTTCAAATTGGGTTTCTAAACAGTGCGGATATCTATGTTTCTCATAAATCCAGACAAATTGGATAGATGGGTTTTTGGTGAAAAACGTTGAAACAAACATGGTGTTTCTAAAAGCCCTACTTGAAAAACATAGATATCCGCTGAAAAGCCTCCCAACCAAACACCACCCCAATGTATTTGAATTTTGGAATCCGCTTGTTGATCTGGTAACTTGGATCTTAGAATTTAGGTTCTTTCACCACTTTCAGACAGGTTTGTTCACAAACACTCATGCAGAATCTAATTGACTTTTCAAAAGAGAGCATCCCTTTCAGAAATAAAAAATAAAATAATAATAATAGCTTTTAAGTGAACATAAGAAACTTACGCGAAAGTCAAAAGGGAACATAACCTCACTTATTTAAAATTCACGTGGACCCTACAACATAATTCGTAACACTAAATGTTATATTAAGTAATATATTTCAAATATGTCTGTGCTTATAAACTAATAGTAAAAAGAGCTATGTATTGATTAACCCCATTCAGACTTAAAGAGAGATATAGTGTATTATAAGTTCGTTCCATCGATCTGATTTTCGAATCAGACTATGTATTGATGCTCCGCTCTCTCTCAGAAAAATTTGGCACCCCCATTGAATGTTGCTAAATAAATAAATAAATAAATATATATATATATATATATATATATATATATATATATATATATATATATATATATATATATATATATAGGGCTTAACATTTCTGCAGCAGCTGTAAATAGTGTTATCTACAGCTGACACAGAAAAGTGGGCCCCACGTCTTTTTAAAAAATAAAAAAACTCAGGATCCGTTGTCGTATCCTAGGATTCGGACGTGTATCCTTGCTTGCTGTAGGTACAGCAGCTGCAGAAATCATTTTGCCCATATACATAATGCTCTTTCCACATGTAAGAAGTTGGATTAATATTACTATTTTAAACATTCACTCTACCTATGATTCACTGAAATCCTTTATGTTTTAAATGGTGTGTGTTATATAATTAACCTGTTTATTATTATTATTATTGTAAAATTCAAACCTTAACAATTTATTTTTCACTGATATGAAAAAGAATGGGCAGAAGGTGTATTGACTTTCAGGGTTAAGGATGGAGTCCTTAGCAAGGAAGAGGAGAACGATTACATTGTGATCAATGTACTGAATTCACCAGAATCAGACCAGGTTTCTGCTAATCGTGTTCAGCTCAGGGATTTGATGAAGGAAGAAGATGATGAGGATGAGACTGAAAATCATTTTGTTAATGTCAACAATGAGATGGTCTTACCTGAAGATAAGGTTATGATGCAAGAGTTAGGCAAACAGGAATATGTGCCTTCGAAAGACAAGGGCAAACAGGTATTCAACATATTAATTAGTCCACATATTTTGTTTAGAAATATATGTTCTTTCAAAGGATTGATTGATTACTTTGTTATGTTATTTAAACTTCCATGTTTGGTACATGTTGTTAGATATAACATTTAAAACCGAATGTGTGTTCATGATAGTGTTTCTAGTTTATTGAGAATGATGGCCAAATATCTTGAACCAATTTTCCTACTATTAAGTGAAGTTTATAGGTCATTGATTGTTCCCTGTATCTATCTTGCGACATGCAAATCTTTGTGCGCTAGTGTGTGTGCACATCATGCACATGCACGTGTGAATGTGTTGGGGAAGAGACATTTCACAAAGTGATATTTGTGATTTATTTGCAGGTCATAGTTGAGCCTGAATTAGATGTTTGTGATATTTGCAAATCAAATATTGATAGCCCTGGATGCGCGTGGAAAAAGGAAACATGCTGCTTGAGATTGGAATTTGAACCAGTTTGTAAGTGCAATGAAATTCAAAATGCATATAAGGCTTACGAAGTTGGGAGTTCAAGTGAGGTTCGTCACAGCTTAGGGGAGTCAAGTTTCTCTGCTCTTGGCACTGTGCCAAATCGTATAAGTTACTCAGGGATTTTACCTTATTCTGGTATCATCTCTGTTCGATCAGATAGCACCGATAGCAGGCCATCCTTCTCTTTTCCCATGTAAATTTCCACAAAACTTTTTGTGTTAATACCTTTTCATTGGTCTTTTTGTTAGCAATGTATGTCTAATTGGATGATTTATATGCTGTGCTTGCAGACTGCAATCTGAATGGAATATTAGTAGCCCAGACATAATGCCAAAAGAATATGATTATACTGCTGATTCACATGATGATGATAATGCTGATTCACATGATGATGATCATGACCAGATCCAGAAGAAACGTGGTTGGATGCAGGGCTTTCTTTGCTGCAGATTCTGAAAGATTATGGTTTAAAATTTATATATATCATTTAAGTTCTGCTTAAGTACTATCATACATTACTAATATTTACATACATTATGGTTTAAACTTTGTATGTCTTATTTAAGTTCTACTTAAGTGTCATACATTACTAATATTTATATACATTATGGTTTAAACTTTATATGTCTTATTTAAGTTTTACTTAAGTATCTTGCATGCGCATCTCCCTAGCTAACCTTTCTCTAGGGTGGCTAATAATTTCTCCTGTATGTCTTCAAGAAAAACTCTTTTTTTCCGCCATGCATGCTTGCATCTCCTTTTTCCCTTTTTCTCCTTGTATCGTTGAATTTTTTTTACCATTTGCAAACAATTCGTACTTTCGTAGTACATATTGGAGCTCTTGATTAGGTTGTTAAGAATCAAGTTTTAAATGTTGCCCTAATAGGGAAGGGAGGGTTAAACCTACGTATTTACCTCCAATTAGGTACATTTATCGGAGGAAATTAGGAAAAATAGATAGAGAAGATACCTGATATGTTACTCTATCGGATTTTAGAGCTACCATAACTTTCACACACACGCACCTTCTTCTTTTGCAGCTGTTTACGGTGACTCTTTGAGCTTTAATCTATGCTATTGCCTTTACAAGCACATATGAGATACTACACATGTGAAAGATACCAACCTAGCTCCCATTCCGCAACAATTCAATAATATAGTTCGATAGTACATGAATAAAAGACTTTTACCACTTGTTACTAAAGCCTAATTCTATTTTTTTCTTTCACGCACTACTAGAAAAAATCTGTATAGTGACGGAATGAGAAATTTTTTTAGTACATCAAATATATTTAAGTGGGTACATCCTTTTTTCTAAAAAAAGAAAATTTTATTTTCATTTAAACCCTCATTTTTATCTTTATTTTCATTTAAATCCATTTTTTTTCTTTTTCTACTGCTACATGGTGCAGCAGTAACACCAAAGTTTAAAATGCTACTCACTCCAAGATACATGAAAACGAAAAGAGGTGTGCGTAACATTGATAATATAGGTTAGACATTTCGAGTTAACTCATTTATCCTGGAAGTTTTTTTTGTCGATTTAGGTTTATATATATTAACCCACCCCCACATAACCCACAAGGTGTTGCGGGTCGGGATCAGTTTACCACTTTGTATTTTAATTTTTTCATCTTTTTTATTGATGCTAGGTAAAGGGGTCATAGATTTTGAGTTGAGTTACGGGTTTGGGTCAATTAATTAGGTTCTTTTTCGTTTTCCACATCATTATTAACTCATTTCCTCACCACCCAACAGATCACGTCTTTTTCTTCAACTCTTGTTGCATGCAACATTAGGTGTTGTAGTAACCACCGCTTGCAACAATGGCCACCTTCAACACCGGACTTAGAATTTTTTTTGAATGTCTGCACACTTAGAATAAAAGAAAAAAAGAAAAATATTTTAAAGAAAATTTTAAATATATTAAAATATAAACAAAAAAAAAATAAAACTTTAACTTAATATAAAAAAATTTATCAAGAGTGAACCAAACTGTTACTATAGAATATTTTGGGTCCTCAATAAAAATTACGGGTCTCAATTTAATCTCTTAGAAAAAAAAGTCTACTCGTGATCCCTCAGAATTCAAAAATAGACCCAGATAATAAAAATCATGGTCATCTGAAATTTAAAAAAGACTCACATTAATCCCTCAAAAGGACTAACATGGATCTATTTTAAAATTTAAAAAGATCACGAGTCGACTTTTTTTTAAGAGATTAAATTGGATCCTGTAATTTTTGTTGATGAACCAAACTAAACAGGTCCGCTGGCCACATTGACAACCACCACCACATATGGGAGCACCGCGCACAGTGACAACATTATTTTTTATTTTTTCCCATTTTTACCTTCCGAAAAATGGGTGAACTTAGCCTTTCGAATCCATTTTTGAAACATAAACCAACCCGAGCAAGTTGATAGTGGGATATAGCATCAGGTGGGGCTGAGTGAGTCAACCTGCTTTTGCCAATTCCAATTGTGCAGCTCCATAGGGTCCCCTTATATGTTAGAACAAAAAATCATGCCATTGCTTTCTTGATGCTTGAATAAGCGGTTGGAACGGCCTAATAGGTCCGATTGAACTGATTTTAAAAATTCATATCTCTCTATTTAAAATTTTCCTTAGAAATTAAAAAGATTGTTGTGTTAATTTTTTTAAGATGATTATTGATTATATTTCTTGAGTTGAATGCGATAACAAAAAGAGTAACCTAGTGTTATAAATCTCCCACTATGCAAAGTTTCTAGAGAAGGTCAAACCCATTATATTAGGCAAAAGCACCATAGTAAGAACCTTTTGTAAAAGATTTGCCCATTAAAAACACGTTTGGTATGTACTTAAGTTTATCTTTTATTTTATCTTTATCAAAAAATTTAAATTTTGAGTAACTTGTAATTGCCTCTTTAAAAATGCATACATAAATAAGAAAATCATATTTGACTTTTATTCATAAAATTTGAGGAGATTTATTTCTTTCTTCGTGTTCTTAGTTGAATTAGGGTTCATTGGCTAGCTACCCGTGAATTGAGGTCTTATTAATCAAGTTGCAAGCTTGAGGGCATTGGTTCTTATTCCTCCTGCGAGCAAGGATTTTTGACCATCATTGAAGATTCTTGTCTCATCGAAGCTAGGGGTCTAAGGGGTTTCACATTTAATCTATCCTAAACTGGATGTGCATGGAAGATCCAATTAAGCTGACTTTTGTGCGGAGTCCACATCATTAAGGCTCAAAACAAGTTTGGTTATGATTGTTACATATTATAAGGATATTTTGAGAGTATTTGCACCATCATTTACTCATCTTGAGTTAATTTCCAAATATCATTCATACTTGAGCTCATTTCTTGAAGAATTATATATCCATAGAGCTTTGATTTGTATATCTACACTTTGAGAGTGTAAATTCATTTCTTAAACCCTTCTATGTTTGGTACAAGGTAAAGTTTTAGATTCCTGAGAAAGTTATATTGGAATCCAACATTTGGTAAGGGAAAAAGAAAATTTTTCCTGGGAATCTTATTTTCCCATGATTTGGCTTTTGTGAACAAAAGTTGACCTAAAATCCCACCCAATAGGTGGTATTCCACAAATCCCACACGCTGGGAAAATTGAAGCAAAATATTCAGACAAAAATACCCCACAGTTAGCCCTAACTTTGCTTTGTGTATCGATTTGTGAATAGACTAAAGCTCTCTGTCTCGAACATTACTACACGCAAACAAGAACACCACCCCACCTTTTCGTATTCTTTCTCTTACGACAAAAACAAAGTGGAGAGAGACAGAAAACATAGAAAAAGCGTTGGTCTTTGGTCGTCCTACCTATCTCTCTTCCCTCCCCTTGTTGTGTAGTTGTTACTGTCGTTGTTGTTTTGTTGAAGGAGAAGAACATCAACAGCTACAACATCGACCTTTTTGTATCATGTTGTTTTGCAATTTTATAATCGAGGGTAATTTTGTAAATTTGATCCATATTCCCAGCAATATCCTACAATCAACCAAACATAGCATCAGGAAAATTAACTAAACATTCCCAGAAATATTTTGGCCTATCAAACAGTAATTTTGGTAACATTCCCTGCAAACTCACTTTCCCACCATTTTCCCAGAAATCATGATTTTCGGGTAAAAAAGAATTCTTCTCTATCAAATGTCACTACATTGAGAGGTAACTATTGATTAGGAAAATTTGGGAAAAGTTGTTGGTTGCCAAGCACCCAAGAAGCTTGGTAGTTGAAAGATTTTTAAGCACCTATAAAGCTTAGAGGTTGTAAGGTTTTCAAGCATCCATAACTTGGAGGTTGTGAGGTTTGACCTATAGTGGAAGAAATGGTTGAGTGATTTGCAGTATTGATGTAGGTCACAAGTGGTTGTGATCGAAACAAAAAAATAAAGTTTGCAATTTTGTTAATCTGTATTCTTTATTTTTAGCACTTAAATTGCTTCTCTAGTATCTAATGTGTTAGTATAGAAAATATATTATAGATTGCTCAAATGTATTGTTAAGCTAGCTTTTCATATAGTAAAGTTTGTATGAAGTGGTAATTTAGAAATAAGAAGGTGAGATTTGCAAAACAAAATTTCATACTCAATTCACTCCTCTTGAATATGGGACTCACTCATTAGGTTAGCTAATCCAATTTGTCATTTTGTCAATTAAGTTGGGTAGCAAATTTTAACTCAACAAACAACATCATCCATCCACATAACACTAAAAGTGTAGCACATCGGGACATGTTAGATCGCAGTATTTTTTTATTAATGTTATGTCAATGGGTCATAAGTTTTAAGTTGAGCTTTGTGTTTGGGTTAATTAACTAATTTTTTCGCTTGTTTAACATCATTAATTAATTTCCTTACCACCCTACAACTCACTTCTTCATCTTCAACTGTTGTGCGTGCAACACTAGGAGTTGTAGTGACCACCACTTACAAGAATGACCACATGGAGAACCACCACTGTTCTGACTGAGGCAGAGGTGTCCGACCGTAGGTCGGATGATTGATCTTGGATCTAGTGCTTTCTCTCTAGATACCTATGAACTAGGTATCTTGGGGACAACGAATCACTACACACTATATGATGGCCTTAGCCAAAGGGGTGTGTGTGTGCACTATCATGATTGCACAAAATAGGGTTAGAGAGCTCAGTCATACCTGTGGTCTTTAGCTCCTATTTATAGAGCTTACCTTTGGGCTTGTGCTGTTTGGGTTTTTCGCAGGCATGGGCCTTTTCCAGGTCCATAACAGTTGTCCCCCAGCCCGGGAGACTGAATCTTCAGGGTGTCGGTATGTCCAAGTCAGATCGTGTGTCATTTGCATTTTAGCCTGGACGTCGGTCATCTGGCCATTATTTTGTTGCTTCTGATCTCAGCTTATCAACCTGGCTTCAAGAAAGAACCAGAGTTTTCTCAGGTTTCTCCAGACACAATTGTATACAGGTTGTTCTG